CAATGTGAGTGATATTGAGTTGACCACACCCAGCCAATAACATGACCACCAAGCCATGTCTACCCAGTCACATGTCCACCAAGCCACGCCCACCACCTAATCCACGCCCACAGAACCGGTTGTTAAAACATTTGAATCCCACCCCTGATGCTTTCCTCACAATCTCTCGGCTTTGCTTACTGGGAAACCACATTAATGGAGAGGGAAGAGAACTGCTTGCAGAAATTCCAACATGCTATGAAAGCCAGTACTGGAATCATGCTGATGAATCAAGCAAAGTAATAATCTAAAATTAAATATAATCTAGTCATACTTAGATGAAGAGGAATTTGGAAACATGAGAGATGTATAATGGAAACCCATCAAGATGCACTGCAAAACACAGATATATATATTCATTACAAACTCGAAAAGGGCCTTTCCACTCCTTTCGGTGTTTCAAATTTATTTAGTACATAGGGCGGTCTACTTCTGCAAAATGCTCTTTGCCAGGATCGAAAATTATTCTGGCTGAATCACTTTTACTATAAACTGTGGGCTTGAGGTCTCTAACCTTACAAATAAACCTCTACAACCCAGTAATTGTTGCATCTTAGCAATTTATTCATGTAATGGGCACATTAGCCTTCATCCTTTTTATTGATTCTCAGTCATTCTCTTGCTAGTAGATTGTTCCAGGGGAAAGTAGAGATTATTAGTCTAAAATTGGGCTGTGGTGCAGTGATGTGATGAACTAACTTCTGCTCTTCCAATGTCTCCTCACTTAATGTCAGCTAAGTTAATCTGCAGCTCTTTCCGATGCTATCAGCTTCATGTGCAGCGTATTTAATTAGCCTCTTGCTTTAAAAGCCAGCCCTGGGTGTCACTTAAAAGATGCATTTATTACATACTGGAGTGACAGAATGAATTACGAGCTCTCATTATGAAGCCAGTCTGGAGAAATTGGATTACTGAACTCTTAGTGATCAAATACCCTTTCACCCTTTTTTTCCTCTCTCCGGCTTTCAAGGAAAAGCCCAAAGCGCCATCTTCTGCTCGCTAACTGGAACCAAAAATAATGTGAGCACTCAGCTCCATCCAAAGGGATTTGCTAAGAGGGAGATCTTTGGCATTTAGAACTAACCTTCTGTTCCTCAGTTAAATCACTTACCTATTCTGCTTCTGCGGGCATGCCAGGTGCCAAACAGAAACGCTGAAACTTCCTAACAGCTGTCGAATTGGACAATCAGAAGTGATTGATAAAACCGGCAGTCTGACTTTGGGAAACACAAGACGCACCAGGAGTTAGAAAACCTGAAGAGGGACACGAAACTGAAACAGGCCTTCATATGAATATACTACTGTATTCTCAAAGGATAAAGCATCCAGCAGAACTAGGGAAACTTGCATATTGCATATTGCAAACTTAAAATTGAGTACAGGGGAGGGCACTGTCAGACATCCTTTGTACCCTTATAGAGGCTCGCTGACACAAATGAATATATATATTTTCACACTCATCTTGATGAACCTGGAACATGGGCCATGCTCTCTCTCTCTCTCTCTCTCTCTGTGTGTATTAACATATAGGCATTCTGATTCTCAAAAAATAAGTTTTTTTTCAAATATAGAGATGATAATAATTATTAGAAAAATAGGTTTGGATGGATAATTCTGGGAAATCTTAACCAAAGCTACCCCACACAAGGGTGTTATGAAATTAAAATGGGATAATCCATGAAGTATTTGTTCCATTTGTGTCCTAGCTTTCCTCCACAGATATCAAACGAATATATATGTAATCTTTTCATTGTATTCATTTGCTTAAGATCTTCTATTTAACTACAAAATTATGTATAACGATGTATCACTTGAAGTTCTTGAAGGAAAAGTAAATCCTGTACAAATATGACTACTGACGTTACTTTGTAATAGACAGGAAGAGACTAAGCAACAGAAAAGTCTTCTGTTTTATTTCCCCTGCAGATGAATATAGCAAGGAGAGTGGGAATTGGAAACTGAAGTATTAACTGTGTGCAATGTGTGTATTCCTGAGAAGAGGAATCTAATATCATCTCTGATGGGCTGACATCAGCCAAGATCTCTTTCTACAGTTGGTACTTGCTGTCTTTGAGAAAATAACACAATATTGTAGGGATAAACGTACTAAACAAACTACTTCCTGCTATAGAAGTTTTCTAATTGAATTAAAAAATAAGTATCAAAATACATAACTGTGAAAAATAGATAATCTTTCTTCAGGATTTCTTCATGTTTCAGTCAGAAGCCAGCTTTGGAAAAGCCATTTACAAAAATTCAACCAAGGCATTTGTCCAGTCTCTGCTTGAACAAGCAAAGGAGAATACGTAAATTCCTTAAGCAATCATTTCCATTTTCCTAATATTCAGAATTAACATTTCTATTGTTCTGCTGACTGAAGACTGCAATTTGGCAGTTGGAAACTCACCAGGCTCCAGGTTGACTCAGCCTTCCATCCTTCCAAGGTGGGTAAAATGAGGACCCAGATTGTTGGGGACATTATGCTGACTCTGCCACTTGAAGAGAGCTGTAAAGCACTGTAAAGCAGTATATAAGTCCAAGTGCTATTGCTATTGTGTGGGATAATTATTCATGCCTTGCACTCTGGGATAATGGAGAACAAGTCTTGATGCAGGATCCAATCTGGGTTGGTCATGAGGACAAGCAGTTTTGTGTGCACACTCTGCTGGAGAGAAGTTTTCTGAAGATGGGCTTCAGTATGTGTCCAAAAGCCCAGAAGACAAAACTGTTGGTCCTGGTGACCAACCCAGATTGGATCCTGCAACATTATCGTGGGACACGTATATTTGCCTTCATTTGTGGAACAAGTCTTGATCATCATGCCAATAGGATGATGGACAAACGTATCTCAGGGAAAAGCTGTTTCACAATGTAAGTGCCATCCTTGAATAAATCTTCCTCTGAGGCCCCCATTCCTTTACCTTTTTGTGAACTGTGAACACTTAAGTGTCCCGCTTTGGGGACTGCATAGAAAACAGATTATAGCAAGGGTCTTCAAACTTGGCAAGTTTAAGACTTGTGGACTTCAACTCCCAGAATTTCTGAGCTAATACGACTGGAGGAGGAATTCTGGGAGTTGAAGTCCACAAGTCTTAAAGCTGTCAAGTTTGAAGACTCCTGGATTATATAGTATGTGAAAACAAGTTTGTAAGCCCAGGGGAACCAAACCATTTAGGACTTTACAAGATGCTGCCTGGACTTTGAACAAATCCAGAAACCTACTGAATTGGGTAGGCCAGAAATTTGGGGACTCTTTTTTTTGCTCGTGAGTGGGAGAGATAAAGGGAGCAAAACAATTGTCCTAAGAGTCATAAGACCTAATATATTTATTTTGCCTCTTTGTTTTACATCCAAAAAAAGCAATCTCATGATGCTGAAAATCAGAAATGTTTGCTGCTTTATCTCCAGGTATTTGATGTAGGATTACTCTGAGGTTGCAAGAGACGGGGGCAGCGGCGGGGGAACCTCTAGTTATGTTTTTTATAGGCTGCAGATCATATCATTAAGTACACAGAATCGCAAGTACCAATGGACATGGCTCAATTCTCAGATTGGTATCAGTTCAGGAGATGGCCTTCACCAAGCTCCTAATGTCCACAAGTTTGATAGTTCATAGAAAAGCAGTAAAAAAAGAAAAGGAGGAAGGTCTGGCCCTGAGGTATGTTGATACTGGCAATTAGTTCAGTTGCTGGCATTCTTGTTACCCTGCCCCTCTTTCCTCTCAATACACTTTGAGAGAGAAATGTGTGCTTGGAAAAGGAATTCCCACTGGGTTCAGGCAGAGACCAAAAGCTCAACCCTGGGAAAGGATGGGATGATAAACAAATCAGTGGTAAATGAAATGTAGACAATACCACCAATAAAAATTACATTAACCGCACTCATTGAAAAGAAAAAGAAAACTGAGACTAATGGCAATGAAGCAGAGGCATCCCAGCAGTGGCAAACATAAATATGAGCAGGAAGTTGGGGCTGGCATTAAATGAGGAGGTACATAATGGTACAAAAAGATTCTCCTCCAGTGTCTAATGGCCAGGCAGAAAGGAGGTGTCTATCTATGGCAAGTAGAGAGATCATCCATAAGTTGCTGCTGAATTGTAAGAGTCTGTGGAAAGGGAGAACGTCTGAAATTATTGGAAGACATAATATTAGCTGTATTTATTCAATTTATCAATTCAATTATTTAATTGAATGCTTGGAAAATATAATTTAGGCAGAGATCAAAAGCCTGGCTCTGGGAAGAGATGAAATGGTAAATAAATCAGTGGAAAGTGGTTAAATTGAATTAAGATGGCATAAGATTAAATTAAGTCAACTCAAGGATATCTTTCCTTTTAATTCTCCCATGTCTTGATCTAGTCCTTCGACATTTTGGATTCTATTTTACATTTTTAGTTACTTATGCATAAGAATTTTCTGTGACTACGGAAGTGGAGTGACGGGGGCTTACTGGGGCTCAGAAAGATGGGAATGATGATTTTACAGATACAGCAGTAACGTCGCCACGCACCTTTCAACCAGACGCGGAAAAAAACCAACCAATAACCCTGGTATCCGACTAGCGTTTACAGCAAGTCTCCAAACTTGGCAACTTTAAGACTTATGGACTTCAACTCCCAGAATAGCCCTGGTTTACAGGAAGCACATGCGCGCATCCCCCCCCCCCCCCCCCCGGAAAAAAAAAACCCAACAACAACCAACAACCACAACCCAGAAAGGGTGCCAGTTCTCGCAGCCCTTCACACGTGAAAAAGGCGGAAGGCGAGAGCGGGTCTTCGTCCCTTGTTAGCCACCTCCCTTCCTCGCCCCTGTCATCTCTCAGCCAATGAATGCTGCGAATTTCGGTATCCTCCATCGCCATTCGTCACCGAGCGCAAGAAGGAGGGGAAATGAACCCTCCAATAGCCTCCCGAGTTCGGCGTGGCGCGCGCGCTCCGAGGACCTGAGTTGCTGACCCGAGCTGGGGACGCTGGGAAGATGGCGGCTGGAGCGTCGGTTTCGGGGACGCCGGCGGCGGCAGGGGCCGACTTCGCTTGTGCGGATTTCTCCGACTTGCGGCAGATCAAGAAGCAGCTGCTGGATGTGGCGGAACGGAGCCGGGAACGCGGCCTTCAGCATAGCGGGAAATGGTATGGGGACGCCGAGGGGGAAGGACCCCTTTTTATAGGCTGCTCTTCCGAGGTGATGATGGTGGCGGCGAGGCGGGAGGGTTTGAGTGGGCGAGAAGGGAGGCGAGGACGCTTGGAGCGCTTTTTATCTCTTGCAGGCGCTTGCTTGGAGAACGTCGGTCTGTGCGGTTGCAAACGACTTTATGACACTTAGGCGATCCAAATCAACGCGGGCAGTTGGTTACGTCTCAGAAATAACGGGACGGCCCGATTGGAGTTCTTTCAGGAAACAAATTCTATTAGTTTATAACTAAAGCAATAGCGCTTAGACTGATATACCGCTTCACAGTGCTTTACAGCCCTCTCTAAGCGGTTTACAGAGTCTGCCTAATTGCCCCCCAACAATCTGGGTCCTGCTGATCACAGCATTTTAGCAAAAGGCCTAGATGTGCAACTTTAAGGTAGCAGCTGCAGCTGGGATGGCTTCCCCTAGTGTGAAGTTATACAGCATAGGGAATCTTAGGATGTGTGAGTCCATGACTGCTGGGTTCATACATGATGAGACGTGGTTTCTTTAATTGGGATTGATTGAATGATCTATAATTGATTGACTTTGGAAAACATGCTAAGATGTAAACTGTGAGTTGCAAACCAAAGACTGTTTCACAGAATATGCCTAGCCAGAACTGAGTAAATGGTATTGTGTAAACTTAGACAACGTGTTATGATTATGATACGGTTTTGGGCAGACTCCGGTGTGCACATGTATCACCTCTCCTGCGGGAGCTGCATTGGCTGCCAGTTTGCTTCCAGGTGCAATTCAAGGTGCTGGTTGTCACTGTTAAAGCCCTTCATGGCTTGGGACCAGGCTATCTGAGGGACCATCTCTTGCAGGTCACATCTACCCAACCCATCAGAACAGGGAGGCAGGGAAAGTTGTGGGTCCCATCCTTGAGGGAGATATACCTGGTGGGACCCAGAAGAAAGGCCTTCTCCATGGTGGCTCCCTCCCTCTGGAACATCATTCCCCCAGAGATTAGAATGGCCCCCCATTCTGATTCTCTTCCGGAAGGTGTTGGAAGACCTGGTTCTGCCAGTGGGCCTGGGGAACTCAGAGTGGCATTAAATGGCTTGTGTAATTTGCTGTCATGGGGGTGGGGGGTGATTTTACTAAATTTGATTTTATGAGTTTTATTGTTTTAAATAGTGGTTTTATACATTATAAGCCACCTTGAGTCACCATGGCAAATAGGCAGCAATGCAAATCTAATAAATAAATAAATGATTAACCAGGCAGTTTATAAGCAGCATTTGCTCTAACACAGTGTTATTGTTGCAGGGCCTCAGAACTGGCCTTTGCCTTGGACCCTCTACCCTTGAATGAACTACCGCCTGTTCCTGAACTTACAGAGGTAAGGATAATTGTATTGTCTATGTAATACTAAACTAAAAATGTCCAGGGATATTGTATATTAATAGTTGGTGATATATGCAAGTTAGTTGCTAAGGCAGCAGCCCCAAATTTACTTGAGAATAAGATTTATTGAACAATTTTTATTTATGATTGTACTGAATATCTCTGTATTAGATTGTATTAGATTAGATTGTTTGACAATCTTTAGCCTGAAAGGCTCCCAGTACTACTTATTGATCAGTTTAAAAATATCATTCTTGGCATTAGGATTACAATTTTTAAAAAGATACGAAAAAGAAACCTGATGAATTGTGAAAACAAAACTACTCAGGAGTTTAATGATGTAAGATCTTAGCCTTCCTCTCTACAGTCTGGTGGAATGGATTTTGGATTGTATTGAGAGTGGTAAATCCTCACTAAATCTTCTCAAAAGAAGATATGATAATTCTTTTTCTGAAAAAGCCAGAGGGCAAAGTTTAAGATGTCCTCATGTTCCACTGAATGTTTCATTTTTCTCCTACTCCAGCTATTCTAGAATTGTTTTGAATTGTAGGCCTGATAGTAGGTGTAGGTGGCCTTCAAAATGTTACTGAACTACAACTCCTAGCAAGCCTCAGTATGTCCAGGCTGTGTAGACTGGAATTGCTGTGAGTTATAATTCAACACTGTTGGAAGGTTTTCCCACTTTTAAGGAAATTAGAGAATTGAAAGCCTGTTGTTCAAGAAAAATATGTTCTTTCCCACAAGCTTTCCATGCCAGCAATGTATCATTTGTTATGGAGTGGTTTAACGTTGCTTTCTTTCTTTCTTTTTTTTTTCCCCACAGGAAGATGCTTGTGATTTGGATGCTTACACTCTTGCCAAATCTTACTTTGATCTAAAAGAATACGACAGAGCGGCCTACTTCCTAAGAAACTGCAAGAGCCCAAAAGCCTATTTTTTGTATATGTACTCCAGATACCTGGTGAGCTAAAACGACTTCCTTTCTCTATCTAATGGCCAACCAATGTGATAAATATGAGAATATAGTACAATATACACTTGCTTAATCTTAAATTAATTGTTATTTGTTTTCAGTCTGGTGAGAAAAAGAAAGATGATGAGACAGTGGATAGTCTAGGTAAGGAACCCAAGGTAAATCTTTCACTTGACTTAGTTTGATTGTTGATGTGCAGTTTCTTAGGCATATTGTTCTTGAGAAGAAGGGTGCAATTTTTAGCATAGCTAGGCAGAAAAATCAAATTTCAGTATGATACTATTATGGAAAACACAACAGCCTAACCCAATATAACACTGAAAACAATGTAGCTCAGAGTTATCTTAATAAATTCCAGACCAGATAGATCTAAATGCAACGGTGCAAATACAGTGTGTGTGTTTTATCCTTGATTGATGTGTAAGAGATTTTGAAAGCCTGAGAAAGATTATTTTATCATCTAAAATATAAAACACTTCTGATCTAGCTACCAACTGGAAGGATGTGAAGTTGTAAATTACACATCCATTGTTAGCATGCAAAATATGATTATATGATAGTGCAGAAAAGATGACAATTATTGTAAAAGGCAGTTTTCTTTCTCTACAGGTCCCTTAGAGAAGGGACAGGTGAAGAATGAAGTTCTGAGAGAATTAAGAGTTGAACTTAGCAAGAAGCATAAAGCCCGAGAATTGGATGGATTTGGACTTTATCTGTAAGTTTGTATGAGATAACTAGTAATGTAAGCCATACAGAAGCATTTGCATTCATATGTGAAGCAGAAATTGTGAAAATAGCAAGGCTATTTTTCCATTTACTTGTCTGCTATTCATTGTATAGCATCATAAATTGGGGCAACGTGATTACGGGGTTTTGCTCTTACAGTCTTTGCCTTTGTGTGCCATTAGGTATGGAGTTGTATTGCGAAAACTGGATCTAGTGAAAGAGGCTATTGATGTGTTTGTTGAAGCAACCCATATCCTGCCATTGCATTGGGGAGCCTGGCTTGAGCTTTGTAACTTGATCACAGACAAAGAGACGGTAAATTGTGGGATAGCTTCATGCCAATCCTTGTTTTCTCCCATTGCTTGATCATTAAGCATTGACCAATCTAGATTTTATATTGTTCATGGTGTTTTTCTGATGAAGAAAAAAATAAATCTAGCTAACATCTTCATTAAATAAATAAATAGCCTTGGAAGTTTTTACTGTAATCCTTTCTGAAGATCTATTCAAATGAGCAGGCATAGAGATTCCTACAATTCAGGGAGAATACAATAGACTCCTTCTCTAAGTGTGTCCCTCTTCTATTTGGTGCTTGCTGCCAGCTGAAGTTCCTGTCCTTGCCAGATACCTGGATGAAGGAGTTCTTCCTGGCACACATATACACAGAACTGCAACTGATAGAGGAGGCCTTGCAGAAATACCAGAGTCTCATAGATGTTGGGTTTTCCAAGAGCACCTACATAATCTCCCAGATTGCAGTGGCCTATCATAACATTCGAGGTCAGTGAATCTTTTTAAGCTTGGTGTGGGAGGGTCTCCTTTTTAGTTCCGTTATGCGCTGATCAGAATAACCATTGGAAGGGACTTTGGAGGTCTTCTAGTCAATCCCCTGCTCCAGCAGGAGGCCCTATACCATTCTGGACAAATGGCTATCCAATCACTTCTTAAAAACCTCCAGTGATCGAATACTCACAATTTCTGAAGACAAGCCATTCCACTAGTTAATTGTTCTCACTGTCGGGAAATTTCTCCGTTCTAGCTTGGTTCTCACCTTGATTCGTTTCCATCCATTGTTTTTTGTCCTGCCTTCTGGTACTTTGGAAAAATAGCTTGACTCCCTCTTCTTTGTGGCTGCCCCTCAAATATTGGAACTCTCTTATCATGTCACCCCTAGTCCTTCTTTTCACTGGACTACACATACTGAATTCCTGCAACCATTCTTATATTTTAGCCTCCAGCCCCTTAGTCATCTTTGTTGCTCTTCTCTGAACTCTTTCCAGAGTCTCAACATCTTTTTTTAATATTGTGGCAATCAAAACTGGAGGCAGTATTCTAAGTGTGGTGTTACCAAAGCATTGTAAAGCAGTACTAACACTTCTTGTGATCTGATTCTTATCCTTCTGTTAATGCATTTTAGGATTGCATTGGGTTTTTTGGAGGCTGCAGCACACTGCTAGTTCATATTTAAGTGATTGTCTATTAAGACTTCTAGATCCTCCTCACAGTTGCTGCTATTGAGAAACACATGCATTTGGTTTTTCTTGCCTAAGTGTATAAAGCCTTACCATTGATTTTCATTTTGTTAGATAGGGCCCAGTGTTCGGGTCTGCCGAGATCCATCTGGATCTTGGGCCTATCTTCTGGGGTGTTGGTGTTCTTGCCAGCTTGGTGTTGTCTGCAAATTTGTGCTCCTTCTATTTCCTCATTTAAATCATTTATGACCATGTCATGTTACTTTTTCTTCAGATATTGACAAAGCATTATCCATTTTTAATGAATTAAGAAAACAAGACCCTTTCAGAATAGAAAATATGGATACCTTCTCCAACTTGCTTTATGTCCGAGTAAGTATCTTTTTTTCTCAGCCATATTTTAACAAAATACACCCAATTAACATTGTATTATTCACAGCCATACAATGTGTTCACATTGTCAACATTGTATGAAGCAGCTTCCGCCTCTTACAATGCTTTCAGTCACCCTCTGCATTTAAATCCAATTTCCACATAGTCAGCAGCCAGCTTTGGCTTAGATGTCTTCTGTTCATTGGACCTGTTTTGTAACTCTCCTGTGCAATGCTGTCCTTATTCCCTGTTCCACACACACCAGCACAGCATCTCTTCCTAACACACTTATATTTTGATATGGAAAGATGCAGTTCATGCATCAAAGTGCTAGGGAAAAGGGAATAAAAAACATGAAATGGAAGACCTACGCAGACTGTTATACATAACTTTACTACAAATAGTTTTCAAACATTCTAAATCCCTAAAACATCTCACCAGTTTTGCTGAAAATCAAGATCCTTTCAAATCAAGCTGATGTTTACCTGAATACATCCGTATAGGTTTTCTTGGCAACCTGGGTTGTTTTGGGATGTTTGTTTGCCTTTCCGTCTCCTCCAAGTACTAACAATGTCTGATCTTGCTTACCTCTTTCCAAAATCAGCCAGTGTTACCTAATGCTGCCATCTGCTGTGACTTTACTGAAAATTAGATCGTTACGTAATTAGGTTACAGTATTGCTAAATAATCAAATAGGGTTGTGTTGTAATATGTTTGATTTTATATCTTTATTTGCTTAGTTGTCTAGAAAAAAGAAACCAGTAATATAATACTAGAAATCACTGATGGATTTATTTCTACACTTGTAGTGTGGCAGTCAAATTGTTAAGGTTAACTAGGTAGTTAATCAAGTGACTGATTGTGAGATGTGAACTACTGTTTTTCCTAATTTCTTTTTGCAGCAGAATAAATTTTTATTCCCCCCCCCCTCCTTTCCCCTCCCCTTGCTAGGGTATGAAGCCTGAATTGAGCTATTTGGCCCATAACCTATGCGAGATTGACAAGTATCGTGTAGAAACTTGCTGTGTAATTGGTGAGAAGCTTTGCATTTTCTTTTTTTGAAGAATTTTTTTTTCTCTTAAACAATGCCTGTGAAGCTATTATTTTCTTCTTTTTCCTCATTTTTTTTTTTTAAATTTAGGAAACTATTACAGTTTGCGTTCCCAGCATGAGAAAGCGGCCCTCTATTTCCAGCGAGCACTGAAGCTGAATCCTCGGTATCTTGGAGCATGGACCCTGATGGGGCATGAATACATGGAGATGAAAAATACATCAGCAGCTATTCAAGCATATAGGTATGTGTGTAAGAGTTAGTTCTACTGCCTCGAGTTGGAAATGCTTTAACTGGATGTTACTTTTTACAAAAAAAACACACCCTGTCCCAAACGAAATGCTCTGGGCATCAAATGGGAAAAGATTTATAGCAATAGTACTTAGACTTACATACCGCTTCACAGTGCATATATAATGTTAAGGGTCAGCATGTTGACCCCAACAATATGGGTCTTCATTTTACAAACCTCAAAAGGATGGAAGGTTGAGTCAACCTTGAGCCAGTGAGAATCAAATTGCCGAACTGGGAAGTAGCCTGCAATACTGCATTCTGACCACTGCACCAGTACAACTCTTTTATAGAATTATTATTATTATTTTTTACTACCAGTAGAAGCAATATATTAACATGTCTTTAAGCCTAAGATATCATTATGGTTCCCCCGTGCTGCGTAGGGGGGAAAAATGACAGGAAATAGGATTTTTTTCTCTCACAAGTAAACGAAGGAGGATAGCAGCTGCATGTCCCTTTGGCAGGAGAGGGTTCCATGATGTGGAGGCTACTGCAGAGAATGCTTGCCACTCAATCACACCTCACTTACCTCTAAAAAGAACATTTTCTTCTCATAAATAAAACACTTGTTTTCCCTCCCCTCACAAAAATTATTTTCCTTCCAGAATAAATAAAGATATGTATATGATGATTTTACCGATATTAATTCCCCTCCCCCCCTGCTCCCCAAATTCCCTCCTCTCTTAGACATGCCATTGAGGTGAATAAAAGAGACTACAGAGCATGGTATGGACTGGGGCAAACATATGAGATTCTCAAGATGCCATTTTACTGCCTTTATTATTACCGACGAGCCCATCAACTCAGGTAAAACTGTGATCGTGGTTATCCCTATTGCCACATTTTTTAAAATCAACTTTCCTTGGTATTTCCTTGGAAGTTAAATTATTAAAATTAAATTCTTTATTTGGAAGTATCTATTTTTAAAGAATAATGCCCTGCAATTGATACAACTTTGGTTTTTAGTGCCTACTAAGCTTTATGAAAGGCAAAGGATTATAAATTGCAAAGAATTACAAAGAGAAAAATTTCATGAATTATTGTGGAAAAAGTAAGTCCTGTGCTTATTTGGTGCTAATCTTCAGGGTTGGGGTGTTTTTTTTTCCCAGTGTAATAAATAAAGCCATGAAATTAATTGATATTAGTAAGTTTTTCCAGTAGCCGAATTTGAAAAATCCCATTACCAAAATCTGAGAGGTCTTTAATTTTTTAACTTTGTAGTGAAACCAACTGCTCAGCAAGATATAGATAATTTTGAATGATTTTAGTCTTTTTGTCAGCTAGGTATCTTGTGTTTTTCGCAGACCCAATGATTCCCGTATGCTTGTTGCTCTTGGAGAATGTTATGAAAAATTAAATCAGCTAGTAGAAGCCAAAAAGGTACTAGAAAGAACACATTTACAAAAGGGGGGATTTGTGGTTTCACGGGGAACCAGATAGGGGAATTATTGCATGTATTATGTTGCCCTAGTCTGTGCATCATCCTTTTGGTTTGTGAGATGTAAGTCATATGGCTAGGCTATCTGATAAGAAAGGGACAAAAAGCATCAAGTCCTTCTTAGAATGGAATGAAAAATTCGATTATGATGTGCATTCATTTTCACACTTCCACATGCTCAATAGGGACCAGTCCTTTCTTATTACTTCATATCCTAATTCTATTCCGGGATGAAGAAAAAGAATATCACTCAGTGTTATAAAGCAATTTTCATTCCCAAGTCCTGATAATAAAGTTACAAAATTCAGTCAGAATAACTTAATATAAATATAAATTGCAACAGAATCAGTGAAAATCCAAAACATAATTAGTATTTGTAGTATCAAAAAGACTTTCTATTATAGTAGCATTGCTCAATTTGTGCTGATGTTTAGGATATTTTTGCCCATATAGAATAAGGACTTGTTGGCAAATATAACAAGCATAGTAATTATGAAAAAATCATTTTTATTAACCCTGTTTGTTAGTCTGATTGATGATACTAATGTCCCAGTAAATGCAAAATCCCATAATCTTTCACACCAATTCCTGACTAATAACTCAAAAGTATTTTTTAACTGTGCAGCAATCAATTCATGAGCCACAAACAAAAGGAAGTGGATTTAATTATAAAATAATTCTATGTGGCATCTCTGATACGTTTTAACTAGCTTACTCATGGGGGGCAGGGTGAGTGTACCTTTCGCCACCTGAGTCTGGAGCCCAAAGATGTGGAGAGTTGGGTTGCATACAAGTTTAATAGCTTATTATCCTTTACTTCATCTTTGCTTTTATCTTTGGCAGTGTTACTGGAGAGCATATGCTGTAGGGGATGTGGAAAAAATGGCACTGGTGAAGCTAGCAAAGTGAGTCATGAGTATGGCGCTTCTCTTGCTTTAAACTTCCTCTATAAAGGCAGGAATAATTTAAATATGGAATATTTCTGTTTTAAAAGGAAAGGGAAGGTGGGGCTTGTAAAGGCATGTGGGCAGAAGATGTAAGTGTTACTTCATTGTAACATGGGTATTTTTCCCTAGAAATGCAGTTCATGTGTGATTAACGTTTTAGGCTTCTGCCTAAAAGCCCCTTGCAGGGTGAATCGGATCTTACAGCTTTGTCCTGAAAAGTATAATGTTGACTAGGTACCTCCTGCTCACCTGATCTTTATCATCAGCCAAGAGCATCCTCTTACCATTTGTGTCCTTTCTTAGGCTTCATGAGCAGTTGAATGAATCGGAACAAGCTGCCCAGTGCTATATCAAATACATCCAAGATATCTATTCTTGCGGGGTAAGTCAGTTCTAAATAAGTTTGGGAGAGCACGAGAGGGAAATATAGAAAAATCCACAAAGTCCTTACAGGTAATCTTTGGCTTATGGTGGAATTGAGACTGGATTTTCTGTCGTAAACTGTTATGTCACATGACTGCATCACTTTGCAAGCAGCAGTCCCAGTCTCAGCCGCTATTATAACCCCAGGATTGTGCAGGTTGTCAGGTGGGAAGAGGTGGGAGTCCCAGGCAAGCAAGCTGGGCAGTATTGCAGGCAGGTGCTAGGGAGCAGGGAGGGGAGTGCCATGGGTGTGTGGAAGGTGTCACAGGTGGGAATGGGGATGGCTGTAAATGCAGGTGGCCCAGATTTTGATCACATAAATCATGAGGGTGCTGAAATGGCCAAAACTTTTGAAGACTCGTGATAAGTCTTTTTTTTTTTTCAACTGTAACTGAAACATTTAGTTGTGGCTTTGAATGGCTGCTGAACCAGGCATGATATTCCCCTCTGAAAAAAAAATCGGGGCCGGCCAAAAGAGACCCCCCACCGCGCACCAAGAAATTGCTGCCCAGCTCCCTTTTCCTGCCGCTCAGCGGCCTCCGCACGCACTGCCCGCCCGCCCGGGCTCCGCTCGCGGCGATTCCCAAAAAAATCGGAATTACGATTTTAATCGGAAGAATATCATGTCTGTGAACGAATGGATGTAACCCAACAACTACCTGTATTGTATCCCAGGAAATAGGGGAGAACTTGGAAGTAAGCACCGCCTTCCGCTACTTGGCTCAGTATTACTTCAAGTGTAAGCTCTGGGATGAAGCCTCAGTCTGTGCTCAGAAATGCTGCGCCTTCAACGATGTGAGTAACAGCTCCAGTTTAAGTGGACAGTTTGTCACCGGGGCTTTCATATCTGTCCCCATATGTATGTATACAACATTAATGCGTGAGTCCCTTCTCCCCTTTCATTTGTGGCTAGGCCAGAAGCTGGGTCCTCCAGGCTTGGTATAATTCACATCTGAAAGTAATCTGGCAAGGGCTGCTGTTTTAACTTAGGATGGTAAAAAAATAATGCCTTGTGAGATGGGTGGCAAATAAATTTAAGAAATGAATAAATATTTAGTAGAGATGACCCTTATTATTTGTAGGAATTCCATTCCAACCTAACAGGTAGATAACAAAACTGCAGCCAATGAGATCTTGAAAAAGAAGTATTCTACACGGTCTGAAGTAGTTCCTCCAGATAATTCTTTAGTTTATTCAGACATTCATGTATTTACAATTTGCAAACAACTTTTGGCTGTGGCAAATATAACACTGAGCTTACTACTTTTCTTATCAGAGAAAGTTCTTTAAATTAATACTGACAGATCCCAGAAAGCATGTAGGCCATTACAAGAAATATTCATTTAGCTGCCTCCTCCATCACATATGATCAATATAAAAGGCAGTTTTGTAGCTGTCTGAGTAGGTTGCAGAATTCACCTCTGCTAAGCTGCCATTCAGCTGCTTAATGGACTAGGGAGAGTGATATTGCAAATGCACAAGAGATTTACCATTACTGTATATCCTCTTTTCCACCTATTGTGTGTGTGTACATTACTTTTTAAATATATGATTTAGTTGTAATTTAGCGTGATGTGCCTGTGCTCAGGAACATCCATATAACCTGTTTTCTATCAGCATCCTCCCCTTTTCTTTCCTTTCCTCATGCATCTGGCTTTTCTTTCTAGACAAGAGAAGAAGGGAAGGCTCTTTTGCGACAAATCTTACAGTTACGAAATCAAGGGGAGACATCAACTACGGAGACAGCAGCCACACCTTTCCTACTTCCTTCTTCACTCTCTACCAACAACACTCCAACCCGCCGAGTCTCCCCACTGAATTTGTCTAATATTACACCTTGAACTGAACTACCTTTCTGTGCTGGCTCAGTTGAGAGGATGATCCTGTTGTAAACTGGGTCCTTCTCTTGAATACTGCCATTCCAGGAAGGCTTGTGTATTCAGTTTGGATGGCTGACATCACGTTGCTGAGGATGACCGCCTGTTGTATTGTAACCATGAAATGGTAATAGCTCAGACAGCGCAGTGAGCTGAATTCACTGTACATCTCAGTCTTCTCACAAGCCTGGCACCTCTGTGAGAGAGAGAAGCTCTCTTTACACCGGCTGTGAGGTTGCTTTCTGTCCCTTTCACATTCCTTTCTGAGGATGTTGTAGTAAGATGCAAGTTATCCGTTTTATCCAATTTGCATCATTTTTGAAACCGTATCACATTTATTTGAAATTGAAAAAGAGTGTCTGTGAGCACCTGGCTTTTGTTTTTTTGTTTTTTTAAATTATGTGACTAATAAACGCTTATCTTAAAAGATAGCAACAAGGCAGAGAACGTGGATGGAAAAGCGAATAGGTCACATCTCATCCAATGCCAGGTTGAAACTGGCAACAAAGTGATGAGTATATTTTATGCCAGCAGGTGCAGTGTTGCTGCTTTCTCACATAGGCTCTAGAAATTGTAAAGGCTATTTTAATCAAACTTTTGTAGATCAAGAACCAGAGGAAATTTCTTGAAAGCAAACCTGTTTGTTTAGCAGCTTGTAAATTCTCAGTTTCAACAATGACTATGTTATTATAGCTGAATGATTGTGATCAGTCTTTAAATGTCAAGACTGTTAGAATTCAAGAATTATAACAAAAAAATTTGTGTGATTAAGAATCATGTTTACCATTACTGTTTTTATCAGTATATTTTATCAGTATATTTTCAAAAAATCAGATTTATGGCTTCTGACATGTTTCAGAGATGTTGAGACTTCAGTATTCATATTTAGAACTTTAATCTTCCTCCTCCTCCTCCTCCTCCTCAAGAATACTCAGCGTGGGAAACAGTCTTTCCAAATTTATAGCAGATAAGATGTATAGTCAGTTCAGCCAATTGCTTGGACCATCTAATGATAAAATAATTCTTATAAAGTAGAAGTAATCTAGCTATCCCATACTTCTATAATTGTAAAATAATCCAATCCACTGTTGCACTGTATGGTAGTCATTGCATTTGGTGCCTTGTTATAGTAGTGGAAACTGAAGCAAGACTACCACCCTTTGAATAGCAGATCTATTTTTTCCAGATTAGAATCAATAAATTTGTGCACAAGGAGGTTCTTGCAAAATAAACAGAATTGTTTGTGCTGGTGGTGGTTCTAGAAGTATCCCTCTTTAGTCTTGGATTGCTGCAAATTATTCCATGAACTAATGCCTCACATGGTTATCAAAATCTAAATACTATAATCTTTTGCTATTAAAATGAGGTATTTATCAAAGTTAGTGTATATCATAACAAATGCCAGTTACTCAGGTTTTCTAAGACACAAAAATACCCCATATCTGCCCTTGTCAAGGAATATGCCTCCCAGCTACATTAACTCAAAATTTTGCATGTACTTTATATTGAGTATACAGTAGTGATGACTTAGGCACTGAATGTTGGAGCCAATCCAATTTCATGCCCCAGGATTTTTCTGAAAAACAGCACATTTATGCAGTTAATGGTCTCAACGATCTGTTTCTTGAAATAACCGAGCTGTATAATGCTCTTTAACAAGAGTTTTGTCATGTGGAAAGACAGCTGGTTGAAGTGGAAAAAAAAAGTAGAATGGAGGGCAGTTTGTTTTCTGCTTTTGAATGAGATGCAAGTTTATATGAACTTCTGATTACGTTATGGTTTACTTGCTCAGGAATGCAGAAAAGAATATACATAGTCCTTTGCATCTAGTCAGCTATGTCTCTATAGTTGGACATATAGAGGTGACATTAAGAGTGACGTTAGGGGTGTGATATTATATTTTATCTTATGCAGATACATTAGTAGAATTTTCAGACTGTTCTACAGCAGGGATTCCCAACCTTGATTGGCACCAGGCTGTGCAAACAAGCAAAGCTCCATCTACAAGATGCAGGTAGGATGCGAAACCACATCCTCTCTGGTCCATGGAAAAAACTTTCTCCATGGAACCAGTCCCTGGTACCCAAGAGGTCAGGGGCTGTTGTTCTGTAGAAACCTCTTCATGGGGTTCCACGAGACTATGGGGAAAAATATTCACGTGAACCCTGCCAATCATCTATTGGTAGAGCTTTGCCTCTTGATTAGAGGCCCAAGTGTTTTAAAAAACAGATCCATGGCCTTAAGGCTGAAACCTCCAATTGCATACTTTAAAAACAATGGCTCCAATTTACATAGTATTTAATGAGGAAGGATCAAGTTGAAAAATGTCCTTTACAGGTTGTCCTTACAGCCTGCTGCTTAATGACCGTTCAAAGTTACAACAAACTGAAAAAGCTACAATCCTTCCTCCGAATTATGCCTGCTGCACCACCTGTGACCGGTCATGTGATAGCATTTCAAGCACTTAGCAACTGGTTCACACTTATGTCCGCTTGTGTCCCAGGATCATATAACCATTTTATGATATTTTTTTTGTCAAATACCTATTGGATAAGCTGAGTTTGACACTCCCCCACCCCCCCACTAATTTTAGAAAATTTGGGCAGCAGTAACATCCAAATATATCTTATTCTTTTAAAAAATGGTTATTTTGTTTACTGAACTTTCAGCAAACTAAATAGCTTTAGTAAAAGCTGAAGCCCATTGATAGGTGCAGGACAATGGCTACCACAAGAAAAAGATCTTTCAAATGTAGGTGTCAAGCCCGAAATTCATCACTTGGAAACCTGACATTAGGACAGTCCCCTGAGAAACTTCCCAAGATGGAATAACTTGCACTTATGGTGGGCATAATTTGTGAGTTGTAATACATTGTCACGCTAGCTGTTAAAGCCTGAAACCTTTACCAAAACTGAATAAAAGCTTTCTGCTATAAATCTATAGAAGCATAAAATACTTCCTAATACTGACAATGTTGATAGAAGAGGTTTTACCTTTGACCGAAGATTAGTACACTATCTGGGATGGTCGTCCTCTTCCACCGAGTACACAGCTTTGGGAGGGATGCACAGGGAGCTGTGAGGAAGGGGACACCCGCCTAGCCAGCCAGATCAGCCGAATCAACCCTGGCAATCAATGGGGGTGACATGTCACAGCCAGATCGTCCTCCCAGAAGAGGGTTTCCTAAAAATGCACTCACTTTCCGAGGGCCTTTTGTCAAGTACATGGGAAAAGGGCTCTTGGGTTACTCCCAAGTTAAGGGAGACAAATATTTGAGATAAATCTTTGGGAGATAGGTTGAGGCTTGACTCACTCACTCCAGTTTTTACAAAAGAAGCAAAAGTGTTTTCCTTTCAATAGTTGAAAGAAAAGTGGTTCCTCTGATCAGATCTGAATTGGGGTTTTAGCTGGGGATGGCCTCATTAACCACCTTGAATGCCTTAGATGAAGAGAAGGTATAAATTGTAAGTATATTTTGGATTCCCCACCCACCCCCAGAAAATATTACTCTAGAACAGCGGTCGCCAACCAGTGGGCCACTGGTGGGCCTTGAGATGCAGAGAAATGTCACCCCGGAGCACCCCCCTCCCCAAAGCAATTAATCCAGGCTGCTCAGAAACACAAGGCTGCGCCGCCCACATGGCCTGCGGGAACCTTCCCCGCCCACTCCTTACCCGGCAAACTTGCCTGCTAAATTGGTATATTTTTTTTCTTTCCGACCATCAGCTGTTCTGCTGTGCCGGGAGATTTAGATTAGCTAGAAAGCAGGAAATGGTTGCATTTCTTGCTTTCTAGCTAGTCTTTAGATCTTCGGCTCTGCTTTTAAGCACAGCCGAACCTCCCTTAGGACTGAAGTTTCTATTATTCAGTGCAGACTCACGGCAAGCAAATTTTATGTGACAGACTGAGTGAGCTGATGGCAAATAGATAGAACTCTGAATGAATCTGTGATTCTGTGAGCAACTCAATCTGCCTGCCTGCTTTTGGGTAAAAGTTGCTCTTTTTTTTATAAAAAATTCAGTATTTATATAAATATTTATAATATTTACATACAAGCCATGCCCAGCCAGTCACATGACCACCAAGTCACACCCGCAAATTAGGCCATGCCCACAGAACCAGTTAGTGGTCCCTGGGATTTAAAATTATGAGTTTGGTGGTCCCTGAGGTCCAAAAGGTTGGCGACCCCTGCTCTGGAAGGAACTCTTGGCTGGCCAATATTTTTAAATGCCGCAATTGGATGGAATCCAGTCTACACAACTCTATAACATTTCAGAACTGAAAACAATGCATTTATTATATGTTTAACATAAAAATATATGTGGTTCTGCATGCTGTGTAACATTTTTTTTAATAAAAATAAAATAGATATAAATGTAGGTTACATAACCACTGGAATAGCAGCTGGCCTGAAAGAAAAGACATGCATAGTAATCAACTTTGGGAAGCCAAAGGTGTTCACAAAAGAAAAACCCTCAGGCCTTATCTCACTAAATATAGAATAACTTATGTACATTAATTGGATCCAAAGGTACTTGAGGCCGACCTGTTTAAGCCATTTAATCCCAATCCTTTTAAACTGTTCTACAGCCTTCCTGTACCTGGAGCCAACTCACTGATGGTAAAGGCACTAATTGGCTGCTCTGCCTGACAAGGCCTGGGTTCAAAGCATTCAGTATTTTTTGCCAAAGGGCAACGGTTTAACTGTTCCTGGAGTTCCTCGGGCACGCAAGATGCGCGTATAAGGGCTCTCCGTCACTGCAGGCTGAGCCATTGGGCAAGGGAAGAAGTTGTGTAAGAATGGCTTCTTGATGGGAGGTTGACTCTTGGGCTGCAAGTTCTCATTATTTGCACAGAAGCGCTTTTTCATGGAAGCTGATGGCGATGACACGGCCGCTGTGTTTGCTGCCGCCTGGAGCTTCTGTATAGTCTGATATTGGTCTGCAATACAGGCAGCTTTTTTCCGCATATCCAGCTTCACCAGTATCATGTTATTCTGAAGTTCAGCCAAGGTCTGGTCCTAGAAAGAACATCCAGCCAAAAGATGATGATGGCGGTGATTTATCCAGACCAGAGGTCCTGCCAATCTGAGAGCTGCCTCCTAGCTCTATGAACTGAAAGGACACACTAATTTGTGCCTCTTCCAGGCTAACTAGCACCATTTTGATCAGCCAGAAACCTGCTCAAACTGCATGAACAACAGCCTCGTCTACATAAGATCTGTTGATTGGGTTTGGAATGCAAACTGTTACAATGATACCTTGGAACAGGCATGATATTCCCCTCTGGAAAAAAAATCGAGGCCGGCCAAAAGAGACCCCCCCACCGCGCGCCAAGAAATCACTGCCCAGCTCCCTTTTCCTGCCGCTCAGCGGGCTCCGCTCAGCTATCCGGCTGGGGCTGTCAGGAATTGCTACCGCCGGCGCGGCTCCAGTCCCGCGTTGCCTCGGGAAGGGAAAGGCAAAACCAGGAGCCGCTGCTGCCGTTGCAAAGCGCCGCCGCGGCTCTTCCTTTTTGCCTTTCCCTTCCTGAGGCAACGCGGGACTGGAGCCACGCAGAGCCGCGCCAGCGGTAGCAACTCCTGACTCGGGGCCTCCGAGGGGAGGGGAAGGAGGAGAAGAAGGGGGGGAAAGGTGGGGCGATTCCCAAAAAAATCGGAATTCCGATTTTAATCGGAAGAATATCATGTCTGTTGGAACCCAATGTTCATTGTTTCTGGGAGATGCGACATGTACTAAAAAGGACCCAAACAAACCATATGACTTGCCACGTAAGTGTTTGTTTTGGCCGGGAAGAATTTTCTGTCTGTCCCTTTACCTTTGGCAGCAACCTTCCCAGCATGGCTGACTTCCTGTCCATTCCCCCTCTTCTTATAGCAGCATGTCAAGTACTAAATAAAGGCTGAGTACTAGGACATTTTCATGACAAAACGCACTGAGTACGAAATAAATAAGGGCTTGCGGCAGTCCGGTCTTCTCAAGCTTTTCATTTTTTAGTACTGTACTTGGTACAACCCCCCCACCTCCCGCCCCAAATTAAACGAAAATATAATTTATTGGGCTACTGCCTCTGCTTCACTGTTTTACATTTTCTTTATGCTGAGGGATTAATTTTGCAATTTGTTTAGAATACAAGGTTTTCAGCAAAGGATAAAAGTAGCCTATAGGAACAGATATTCAAAAGGGTAATAGAAAAAAAGAGCCTTACAAAGTAGCTACATTCAGCAGGCCTTTCCATACCTGTTTGATCAGGATATTGTCACACTTATTGAGGGCTTCGCGGAGTCTCCCAGCACTCGTGCTGTGACAACATGCTCTCTCGGCTGACTGGAACAACTCTCCAAGATTCAGCAGCTCTGAACGTAGCATCCTTATATTCTGAGAGAGCAAAGAGTCACATAATCAAGTAGAGAAAGAGGAGAAGAAAGCTTTTGATTATAAAAGGCAAGCTGCTCACCAGTGGAGAAGAGGAGCTAGAAAGAATACAGGTAGTCCTTGAGCTAGGACCATTCATTCAGCGATTGTTTAAAGTTACAGTAGTGCTGAGCAATTGGTCCACAAAATTATGGATGCCATCACAACCTCTTTACAGCCACTCAGGCATCCATTTTGTAATTTCAGTGTCACGGTGAGCTACAGTCATGTGATTGTCATTTGCAACCTTCCCTGTGGCTTCCCACAAACAAAGTCAATGGGGAAGCCAGAAGGGAAGGTCACAAGTTGCTCTTGTAAATTGCTCCCACTGCTTTTTCTCCTCCCTGGGAGTTCCACTACGGAGAACGCGATCCCAGAGAACCCATGCCTGCCTGCAGGGCCTGCCTTGACTGGCCTTCCCACAATGCCCTCCCAATCACATCCACACACTCCTTCCCATTCCTTGCCCAGGACTCCTGCCTCGACCCACTTAATATCACATGACATTTCATTTTATTACTGCGTCACTTAATGACAGCAATCCCTCTCTCGTGTGCTGTTGTAACTCAAGGACTGCCTCGACCAGCAACATCCAAAAGAAAAGAAAATCTAATTTTCTTTAGCGAGCTCTTGCTCCCTCTGTTAAAGTTACCTTTTGACCTTCTTCTAGTTTCCGGTCTAAATCAGCAGCAATGGGCCTTGCCGAAGGTGGAGGCTCCAGCATTTTTCGATACTTAAGCAGTTCTGTAGGAAAACAGGGCCAAGCGCAAGAAGACATTAAGCCTAGCAAATGAATTGCTAATGTACATGGTGGCTTCCAAATCAGGCCCAAGCCCTAAAAGATAGAGATGTTTCCTGAGAAATACCAAATCTCTCTTGCTTCTTTCCCACAAAATAGAGCAGACTCACTGAAATTAGATGTAAGGAGGAGATTAAAGTGATGATGAAAATCATTATTTCTGCTTTTAAAGCCATCGTATACCTATGCGGGGATCAGCTTGTTACTCAAGGGAAAGCCACCAGTGCCATAGAGCACAGTTAAGAGGACTAAGTAACACAGGACAGGGGATAAAGTTTAACATTGGGCAGATGTACATCAACTTTCACAACACTCCAATAAATAAGGCAGTCTACCTTTCTCCAGATATACGGTCTGATCACCATGCGAGATTATAAGAAGAGGGCCTCACCTTTGGTAGATGCACTCAGCTCTGCCTGGCACTTCTCTAGTGTACCTTTCACCTCCTGCAATTCTTGCTGCTTAGATGTGATTCGTCTGGATCTACGAAAAGGTTCTTCCATATCTTGTCTCTTGTCTGC